GATTGTAAAGCTCTTAATTTCTTTTGGGCTGAAGCGGTTAGTACAGCAACTTATCCGTTTAAAAAATGTCCAATGCGCGTAAACGGAAAAATCATTCTCGAATTGACACGGATTTCCAAAGCGGAATTGGAGAGCTTAGATTTACATCACCATATAATTCTGAATACCTATAGTAACAAATTTGACATATAGTTGCAAATATTATATATAAATTCAGAACATAGCTATCGTATGCTTGAGGTCTACTAAACAGAGAATGGACTCAAAAGGGAAGGACATCAGAGTGAGGATTGAGAGAGAAATCAAGGGCATAGAATAGCTGTTGTTCTACTTCGCAAGTCTACACATTGCAAAAAAAGAGAAAATCTAAAAATTTCACACCTTAGAAAATGGTATCTTCCAAGCATGTGATCACCTTTACAGGAAAATTGAAGCAAAATCTGATCACAAGAGGAAGATTGCAACAATATCTGATCAAGAGAGAAGAAATCAAAGCAAGTTCTCATCATCAGATATTGAAGCAATATCTGATATCGAGTGAGAGAAATTGAAGCAACTTCTGATCACTGGTGTAAGGTACTTGAGCAATTAACAAACCTCCTGCCTACGAGTTTCTGGTGGGATGTAGTATGGTTGACGTATGGTCGGGATGTAGTATGACGGAAAATTCGTAAGTATCATATATATTTGATGGCATCAGATCACATATGGTATCAAATATCAAATAGTCCGATACTGATAGCATCAAGCAACTTGAATATCTTGAAAAGAAAAACAAAATTCGGGAAATGTAAACGGGAAAATTATTCTTGAGCAAAAATTTAGTGCAGTCAAGCCGAATCTATCACACTTAGTGTTTGGATGCAAAATGATTATGCAAGTGTACAAGGAAGAACAAGTAAAAGTAAATGTGCAAGCAGATAAAGGAGTAATTGTGAATTATGATCAACATTCCAAAGCTTTTAGATGTTACAGTCAAAGACGTAAAAAAGTCTTAATCACACACAATTTTAAGTTTCATGAGACATCTATTATTATCGAAGCAAAACCTGATGTTGAACCAATATCTCTAAGTTATTCTAGTTGTGAGTCATCCGAACCACCAAAGCATGGAGAAACTATGTCACTAGTTGATCACTCCAAGCCACAAATAATTGAAGAGTCTTTGATCAAGCTCTCTCGAGTACCGAACATCGAGTTGTCATATGTTCATCATCTTGATAGTCGTGATTCAATTTCTCCTCCACAAGACTAGCCAAGTGAAGATGAACATTACTTTCCAAAAAAACAACAACTCTTCATCACTCATGAGAAGTAGGTCATCATCATGTACTATCTCATCTTACAGTTCTTTAATAATCATTATTATCTCAATATTCAATCACGTTGTGTCAAGGATACAATCAATACAGGTTCGAGAAAGGCAATCATCCACATGACTTTGCAATTATTGAGCAGCTTCTATTACTAGTGCCGATGTAGGATTTGAAAAGTCACACGACTTTGTTTTAATTGTCACGAACACAAATGAATCCAACAACTTTAGGGAAGCATCGATGCATGACAGTTGAATGAACGTCATGCAAAGTGAAATTCACTCCACTAATAAAAATGGCAGTTGGCAGCTATTATATCTCTCATTTGGCAAGCAAACTATCTCTGCACAATAAGTCTATAAGTAAAAAACCAACTTTGGATGGAGAACCTAACAAGCTGAAAGCACGATTACTTATACGTGATCTTGAGCAGAAAATCGGAGTGGACTTTGAAGAAACATTTTCATATCTAGTAAAGTGTAGCACCTTGAGATTTCTTGTCACATTGGCTGCCCAAAATGGATGGAAGATACTCCATTTAGACGTGAAAACAACCTTCTTGAACGGAGGCTTACGAGAGAAGTTGTTCATGGAAAAGCTCAAGAGATTTCATGTTCCTGAACAAGGAATTAAGTTTGCAAAATAATTTGTGCATTAGATGAACTTCGCCAAGCACTATGAGTTTCGTATGAGAAAATTGACAACTAACTTCAAAATCAGGATTTGTATTGTGACAATGTAGATTACAACATGTACTTTTTGAAAAATGGACAAAAATTGTCAATTTCATACTCTATGTAGATGATCTTTTGATAATAGATAATGATAGTTAGAAGATTCTATGGCTAAAAGATCAGTTTTAAAATAGATTCGAAATGACAAATCTAGGACTTCTTTGATTTTACCTAGGAGTAGAATTTTTGCATCTTGGAGGAGTCATCTTATTCAACCAAAGACAATATGTATTTGACATGTTGAACAAATTTTACATGAGTGATTGTGCAACAACTTTGACTCCACTACTAGAAGGTTTCAAGTTGGGTGTTGAACTTGAATTGAAAACTATTGATGTTACAAATTTCAGTCGTATCATTGGCAAGCAGTTGTATCACATAACAACTTGACCAGATATTATGTACGCCACATGCATTCTGAGCCGATACATGAGCAACCCACGCCAGATACACATGGATGATCCACGTCATGTGCTGCGTTAACTCAAGGGTACTACTAAGTTTGATGTTTTGTACCGAAAAGGAGAATCAACTCTGGTGAGTGGTTGAATCCATGCAGATTGGACGGGAGATTGTGAAAGCAGAGAAGCTATTTGTTTCAACTTGAATCAGTACAAATTACATGAAATTTAAAAAACAACAACTTTTGTTCTCTCATCTAGAGAAGTTTAGTACCGATCATTGTCTGAGGATCATTTTCTGAGGGTGCCAAGGAAGCGATATGGCTCAATAGTTGTTCAAATATATAAGACCATCTAATCAGGTAACAATATCTATTTTTGTAAACAATGAGAGTTGCATGAAGATTGCACAAAATCTAATCTAATAGGCACAAACTAAACATATAGAAGTTCATTATCATTTTTTGGGAGAGAATACATATTGACATATAAACATATTGACATTCCAACATGTTACCATCACTAATCAGCTTGTTGAGATCTTCACAAAATCGCTTGGAAAGGGTTTTTTAGTTGACGTATAGTATAGCGAAAGTACGCCACCCTCGTCACTAAGGGCTCCTCAAAAATGAGGGAACGCGACCTCTGCCCGCCCGGGCTTTCTGCACGCAGCCCGACCCCTCCTCCTCACCCGGGCCCACATCCCGACCCCTTCCCACTCCCCCCGCAACCAGACACCCTCCCCCGCCCTCGTCACTAAGGGCTCCTAAAAAATGAGGGAACGCGAGCTCTGCCCGCAGCCCGACCTCCCCGCCTCCGACCCCATCCCCCCTTCCCCAGCCCGACTAGGGATGGCCGCCTCCCGATCACTCCACTTTCCCTTTCCCGTCCCTTCGCAAAATGTCTGCGTCCACTGTTCTGCCAATGTCAGTCACCGAGTCCTTCACGCTAAATTACATTAAGTTTTATTAAATAGTTTAGCCCCTTCTGATTCTGTCCCACGTTTGAAGAAAACTGCGAACGACAAATGTATTGCGAGGCATGTCATGTCTTCCATTTCGGAGATTTGGTTGGAAAAATTAGACGCAGGCAGGCGCTGCTTTCAAGCAGTAAATCGGAAAAATCAAACTTCTGATTAATCAAAAACGCTGGCAATAACAATTGAGCCCAACAATGGTGTTGAGAATTATGTCCTTCGTCTGGCCATGTAAGTTCAGAGAATGAGAGTATTGAGTGTGTTTTTTCCGCCTAAGGTAGCTGCCAACTTAATTATTACGGGCGAGTCTTCTCCAGAGTGGATATAATCGTCGATATTTAAGACGTTAGTCAAGACGTTACCTAACTTCATGTGGGGAAAAGAGCACGATTCGGATTATCAGCTTATCAGATTCCTTTTTTGCAGAGGAGGAAATTCTATTTTTTGCAAAAATTGTGACTATGAGATTTTTTGTGAAATAAAATTTATGATTTGAGTTTTTTCATTTATCTTGTTATCACTTTATAATTTTGCTTTTGTGAAATCTTTCAAAACCTTCTCTTGTGATTCTCCATCATGTTGATAGATGAATAGATTTACTTAAATATAAAAATTGAAGAGAAATAATTTCCTTAGAAACTAAAGCTTTAGAAAGAAAAAGACCTAGTTGTTTTTTGGGGGAAGAAGAATGGAAGCCCCAAACATGCTATTCCATTTCTCCTCCCTTTGCGAGGGGAGGAGAATTGGGGCATGGGGCAGGAAAAAACTACGAAGTACAAGTTCCCTGCGGGGAAGGGAGGCCGCGAGAGAAAGAGCCCGATGGGTTTAGGGTTTAGGGTCACAATTTTTGCAAAAAATAGAATGGTGATTTTAACACAGAAGTTATTAGTGAAATTTCTGTTTCTGCAAGTCTTCTTTAGAGTGCACCAGAAGAATTACAACCGTTATTTTGAAATTTGTTTGTTGTAGGTTCCGGTGCGTAACAATCTGCTTACGACTAGTATTATATACTCTATCATTTGAGGAATCATTGGTTTGAAGATGTAAGCTGGTTATATATATATATACGTTTGCGTACATTCTGCTTCAAGATTTAAGGTAATTTTTTATTTGTTCCAACAAGAGTATTTTCAATTTTTCACTGATTGCATCAGAAATTTCTCTCCACTTTCAGTGATGACGAATTTTTCTCCTGTAGTTAGGAAAAACTTTCGTCGCTTCATAGTTTATAACGACTATTATGTACATTTGTTTGTTGTAAGTTCCGGTGCGTAACAATCTGCTTACGACTAGTATTATATACTCTATCATTTGAGGACTCATTGGTTTTAAGATGTAAGCTGGTTATATGTATGTACGTTTGCGTACATTCTGCTTCAAGATTTAAGGTGATTATTTATTTGTTCCAATAAAAGTATTTTCAATTTTTCACTGATTGCATCGGAAATTTCTCTCCACTTTCAGTGATGACGAAATTTTCTCCTGTAGTTAGGAAAAACTTTCGTCACTTCATAATTTATAACGACTATTATACACCACACTCTACCTCCATCAGTTCGATACTACACATGCTAACAGTACAAATTTTCACCCATCTTGCGTACCATTTCATTCATCTTTTTCTCCTCACACTAATAGCATGTGTACATCGACGTTTCCGAGCTCGAATGGACTTGATGAGCAACATAATTTTGCCTACAGTGCAGATGAACAAAAAAGAAAAACATGTGTCTAAACTGGAGAAGATGTACACCATGTGTTCAAAATTTGGACACTGCACGCTTCACTCCACTCAGACTGGTTCAAGCGAGGACAGATGAATCTTTAAGACACAATCCAAGACCCGAGATGGAGCATTTCTCACTTGACAGACAGATTCTCGGGCATACATGGTTTATCTTGCAGCTTTGAATAAAAATTACGAGTCCGCCGAGGTGCAGGTTTTCAAGTAAATAAAATTTGGTCGTTACCATCTCCAGACTTTTCCTGATCGACAATCTTCCTTCAGGCCTCACCGACTTTAAGAACATCTTCATCATCAGTCCTAGAATTCTAAAAACGATGATAACCTTTCACTGGGCCGATGAAATTCCCATCGTGTTCTGGAGTAAACTTGTAACCAACAAAAACTCCAATAGAGTAAATGTTTTCTTGTGCCGAACTATGATCTTCGAGCAGGCGCTGAATGCTCCTCCATTAGCTACCGGCCTCCTCTCAGAAGACGGTCAACCTGAAATTCTCTTACAGCATTGTGCCCTGTCCTCTTAACCATCAACTCCGACTTTCCTTCCACCAGCGGCAGCTGGTTCGAAATCTTTGCAGCCTTACTCGAATATAGTCGAGTTTACGTATTCAATGCTCGGGACGCTTGCCACAGCTGCACAGGATCGGGGCTATGATCTAAACGTGCTTTCACTCCCACTCTAAGATCACCGACATCGCCACTAGGGGGATCGATGTGATGTCTGGACAGAGCCCGGAAGTGGGAGCAGCAGTTACATGTCAGTCATGCTCTGTGAATAAGGATGTGCCCCTGCTATTGTGTCTGTGGCATCAGGTACTAGCTACTATTCAACCTTCCTTTCTTCCTCGAAATAAAACACTTGGAAGAACTTCAATGACATCTAGGTGAAGAATCTCAATATAACATTCGGAACAACCTTCACGGGCCAGGGTGGTTACTAGTTGCAGGACAGATTGACTCCTCGCCTCTTGGTTCAGTCCAGAGATGCGGGGCAGCTGCATACAGGTTGCTCTGCTATCCAATGAAACTATGGACATGTGATGATCCATACGCCATACGCTTTGTTCGACTCCATGCTTTCAACTCAAGCTTCGGTATGACCGCGCAAACTGCGCAGTTACAGAGATGTGCGCTAGTCACATCTTGGAGGACCCTCGCCCTTCAGCTCAGCGAGTATCCTGGGCTCTCTACATGGAGAGTTACGGTTTTCGATGATTGACTCAACGACCACAAATGATAACATTCATAATCCCCTTCACGGCTTGAAAGTACTCAAAGCAGGTGCCTGCAATAGAGGTGCCGAAGACGACGACTGACTGCTTAGATCGAGCACTGTGCTCCCAAGTCGAGATGGAGGCCAATATCTAACCACAGACCGGCCTAGAATGTTTTCCAAAGGAAGTGAACCCCTGCAGCCAAAACAGGGAAACTTCTCAGAAACAATCACAAGATCCTTCCAGGGTCTAGGACCAATCATTGCCGTTCAGAAGACCAAATAGCACTCAAGAAACGTAAACTCACCAGATATGCGAGTCATAGCTGTTATTACGATTGTCACCCATGACAAATACATGGCCCTGAGGCACGATCTGCACAATAGCAAACGGACGTAGTATCAACGTGTTAGTCAGTGTCATGTAGATATGTGGTAAGGATACCAAGCACGCAGACGAAAACCAGAATGAAGGCATTCGTTCGTTAGAGTGTTCAACAAAGTAACTGATGCACATTCCAAGAGTTAGTATGTCGGGCATGCTAGATCCACCAGGCCAAAGAGACTGGCACAAGCACTTACGTAAGGATTCAACTCGTAGGCAGGTTCTTCGGCAATAAAGTCTTCATCGACTGGAGTCCCGTTGACAACAAGTTTACCGTCGTGAACCTGTAGCGAAGTGTCTTGTTAGATTTCAGAGCAAAGGATCTGTACACAGGAGCTCTCACACTAGGAGCTGAGAATCTTAATGTAGCTTCTATACAACAAGTGTCTGTGCGTAAATATCAGCATTTAACCTTTTAAACATTAGAATGTCAACCAGGCAGAGAGGAAACGACTACATGTGTCTACCACCATGTTCACATAAAACACCACATGCAATTCTACATACCTCAACTCGATCCCCGCCTCTTGCAACGATCCTCTTGATGAAGACCTCTCCGGCACTGTATCCTTTTTGCTGCAGATAAGAAGATAAACAATTCAGACGTAGGCAAGCGAATTGTTGATCATCACACCACACCCCTTAGATGCCAAGACTCAAAAGGAGACCAAATGTAAATGGAACTTCAACATACCTGGAGGCTTGGAGGCGCCTTAAATATAACAATGTCATTTACACCGGGCTTTCGAAAGTAATACGATACCTGAGACAAGTAAGCGGACAGAATCAGCCAAAGCTAGCAGTCAAGTAGACTAATAAAACACATGTAAACTGTCTGCGTTGCCTACGAAAGAACCGAGTGTTGCAGAGAGACAAATGCTAGTGACACATGGTTTAGAGCTAATTCACATGAACACGGAGTCCACAAAGCATCTGACCCATATGGTTGACATACTGACATGGCAAAACCCAAGACCTGGTAGCTTAAGAACAAAGAAATTATACGGGGTTGACAGATGCAAGACGTCCACTCCCAAAAGTTGCAGTCGTAGAAGCGACAAGACTGGACAAGTACAAAAAAACCACGCGAAGGATCACATGAAATAGAAGCAAACACGCACCTTCTCGGCAATAATTCGGTCTCCGATCTCGAACGTTGGATACATAGATAGAGAAGGAATGTATCTAGGTTCCGCGATGAACCAACGAAACAACAGTGATGCCGCGAACGCAGCAATTATAGTCTTCCCGTCATCTGACGTCATATTAACCCAATCGGGTAACCAGCTCACTTTGTTGTTCTCAGCTGTAGCATCTTCTCCGGCATCATCTTCCTTCACTTGAAATTTAGCGCTGGGGCCTATCTCATCTCCACCACCTCCACCTCCACCATCGCCATCTCCGGGTGAGACGGAGGTCGGTTCTTCAGTGTTAGGATGGCTAGCATTCGAACCATCCCTCACGGCATTGCTAACAAGAAGACTCCCAAAAGTTGAACCCATGTACTCGTTACAGGGTAGCCACTTCATCGATGGAACGAAGGGTAACCTGAAATGCCCGGCCATCTGGTTTTGGCGGGATCTAGAAAAGGGTGCAGAGTCGAATAACTGTGCAGAACCAGAAGAGAATGTCTGCTTCCGTTGTGAGGTTTCAGCCCGAACTCGAGAGAGAAGGGGACTGCACTTCACTGTCTTGCCCCGAAAATCTTGCGTACCAGGGACAGAAAATTTGGACGAAGCAAACTCCGAACTCAGCACCCCGGGTACAAAACTGGAAGCCTTCGGCAGTTCCGGCTTGCAATTTTCCTTCCATGACGCCCAAGGCGAGGGGTAGCAGGCCTTCCTTTTCACATCATTGCACGCTACCCTCAAGGAAAAGCTGCGGCAGCCTCCTCTTCGTCCAGCACGCCGACTATCGGTGCCAGGAGTTGAAGCCACGGACATCAACTCCCGCACCCTTAAAACGCAAGACGTCGGGCTTGCGTTGATGTGACAAAACGAGAAAACACATTTTGTGGCCATGTCTAACAATTTGCGGCAAAGTTTGCCTAGAAGTTGAATACAGGTAGCAAAAACGACGAAGAACCACTGGAGAATTACAACAAATAAACCATTTTGAAGACGCTGTAGAGGACGTCTTAAGTAACGAGAAATTGAGGTGATTGGTTTACCCCAGAGACGCGTAGTACGCTCTAGTGCAGTTGAGATTGCTCGAGAGAGCTGTCAGAGAGGGAATATACCGGAGAGGAAGTTAGGAATAGCAACGGAAGCTCAGTCAAAACTTGCTGGGAAGCACGGACTGCCAGGACTGCTCGATATGAGAAATAGAATTCGAAAAAGGAGGGAAAATCCAGCACTGAACCTCCAGAGAATGGCCTGGACAAAAATCACAGAGTGATAAGGGAAACCTCGAACAGCGAGCGAGGACCTAGGAACGGCAAACGACCTCCCAAAACAAAACTGGAAGATCCCAAATCCAGAAGGTAACCTCCTCCTCCAGCTTTCGATAACACCAATCCCTTGAGTCGGCCGTGTTGCACAGGAGCAGCACACTGACACCACCGACAGCACCGCAGTCTAAAAACGCACGGGAAAAAAACCTCCACCTCCGCAAACACAACCCCCCGAAGAGGATTCTACCACCACCCAATTCACTCGACGTCTCCTCCACAAAGGCGATCGATTCCACGCCCTCCAATTCCCTCGACCGGAATTGCCCCACACCCAACACCCACCCACGGCAAGTCGGTCAATACCCCGCCCACCACACACTCTCCGCCAACGACCGTCGTTAAAAAGGCCGACGAAATCGTCTCGGTGCACAGGGCACAGTCTCTGCGGCTCTGCGTCCTCCTTGCTCCTTGCTCCTCCTCCCCAGGGAGGGATTGGATTGCTGCTGCTCCTCCTCTGGCTCCTCCTCCTCCTCCTCTCGTCTCCCCTGCTCTCCTCCGGAGAGCCCCTTGGAGCTCCTGGGTTTCGTTTCAACGAGAAGAACCCCGAAGGCCCAGAGCCGGGGCCTCCTTATGGCAGGCAGGCAGGAGTCCGAGGTGACGAGGACCCACCACCGTCGGATTCGCTGGAGGGCCGAGATCGGGCGCCATGCATTGCCTGTGCCCGATATCCGATCTCGGTCCCCATATCTCCCTCGTTGACCTAGACAGTATCTGCTCGGCCCTCCGTTTGACTGGACTCCGATCGCCGCCTTCGTCCGCGGTTCCTGGACTCCGTGGGCCTCGGTCTTCAGGCCTCTTGTATCGTGCAGCAGCGCTCGGATGATGATCGCCATGATTACTGCTGAGGTAATCATGTTTAGTGCGACACTGCGACGGAATCGATGAGCAAGCTCACCAATTGACGAGGCCTGTTTGTCCCCTCCATCCCAGACCCAGTCTCGGATTCTCATGCCTCGTTCTCTTCCCTGGTTCGACATCGACTTTGTGTTCTGAAAATGCCAAATTCCCGCTCTGTCCGCTTCATCTGTTGCCTTCGGCATTCTCTTCGTACGAGATTGTGAGCGAACTGACGTCGGGTCCTCTCGCCTTCTTTACCAGCGCATCGTCACGTGGCCGATCTCGGAAGCTGGAGGATATTGATTTTATTTCTTATTTACAGCTTTTGATAATTATTTCCGCAGAGGAGGCTGTGAAGGGGACATGTGCATGGGTGCGATATGCGATGCAATGAATTTCACTCTCACCCGCCTAAATAGTCGCAACCCATAGCGATTGTCGGACACGATGTGTCGAGCACTGGTAGAGAGAGCACATACCCAAAACAGAAGTGGCGCACCGTTCGGCCTTGATGAGATGAGCTTCCCGAAATTTGTTATGTTTGAAGGGGCTCGTAATACCACAAATTGATGGGAAGACCCTTTGTATTCAACATAAACTATGTACTCAAAATTCCGTTTTTTAGTACATTAACTAATTTTTTTTATAAAATCAATCTGATCTTAATATTCTAAATTACTAATCAAATTCAGTCCCATCCGTACCATGCATTCTAAAGTATGATTTATGTCCCTTTTAATTATATGTACATACGATATTAGAAGTGAGTAAAGTAGTTTATGTTACGAATGTTCGCCTATGCGAAGGCAAATGGCCAACGGAAAAGGCTCACTGCTTCACGAAACGGGAGACCAGACCGAAGACCGCCTCGTAGAGTGGTCGTAAATGGACACGACTCTCGTCAAACTAGGAGGTGTTACAAGAACGAAATCCGCCCTTTTCGTCAAGTGCGGCGTCTGGGCGAGGCACAATGTGCTACTCATGGGTGTCAGCTGATCCAAATCCGGGGCATGTTTGGATGGACGAACCCAGCTACGATCCAAACGGAGGTCCTCCGCTGTCGCAACGACAGTCAATCACCGAAAGTGGATAAGTCAATCTACTAGAACACCACACAAGAACAGAGTGGGAAGCTTGGATGGGATGACCCTTCAGACTTCCGGCAATTCCCATCGTGGGCACAATTATTCTACCCGCAGCAGGTGGGAGCTTCCTCTTCACACTTCCTCCGCTTTTACCACCATAAAATATATCTCTCCCCGCCTCGAGCAACTGAATTGTGTCAGTTCCCGACGCCTAAAGCGACCAATCACGTAAACCTAAGCGGCCGATTCCACAGTTGGATTTTATCCCTCGGAGGTCCTCACAAAAGGGCATGTGATCACAACGAAGCCTATCTACGAGGTACTGATCTTTTCAGCCCAGACTTGAAGTGACAGCTCCATGCACGGAATCCATTTTTACTCAAGGACGCTGGCGTTCGAGGAAATGAAGGCCGCGATGGCAGACCCATGAACTTAGAACTTGGGTCTGCGAAGTTCACCCTCGTGCTTCACCTCGGAATCAAATCTGCACTGATCGAACAGTCTGCTTCCGAGCAGGAAGAATATTGACTAATTCGCTGGGAGGTCTGCATGACACAGTGACGATCGAATCCGGTTGGACGTGAAGTCCTTCCCTTGCGGATCTATATTAAGAAGACTTCGCTGCGAAGCGCTCTCCTCCACAGCCTTGCTCCCTCCATGCTGTCATCGCCATGGAGGGAGTGAGATTGCTAGAGGGTCTTGTCTTCACAGGTGTCGGGCCCTGATTAGCTCGCCTATGTGTTGCTAGATCATAAGTGGTCGCCGCCTCATTCTCCTCAGGTACGGGTTATCGTGTTTTTCGATGGCAGTAAGAAAGTTAATTTGACTATTGTGCACTGCGAGCCTTGCAGCAATTTCCCCGGAAGCTTTCCACATAATGCTTCAGCTTCACACTCCCTGTTTCCCAATAATCAATAAGTTTCCATTTGTTTAATTATTCATGAGTTCCCTCTCTGTTTGATCGATTTCGCTCACGTCTGGGGTTTGTCGAAGGAGCCAGAATATAAGCCGTCATAACCGGGCTGGGTTTCGGAGAGCCCGTGATAGCTGCGGTTCTTTCAATCCAGTCTGGACCATGGACCAGGAAACACTCGGCCTCCTCTGCGCTTTATTCTCTTCTTGTACGGTGCTTGACACTTTATGACGACACTTCGTGGAAACCTGTTGTAAAAAAGCGAACGCATTGCAGTCGTTGAGTCACTCCTCCTCTCGCTCTCCGATTCAAATCACCATTCTGTATTGTATTATGGTGATTATTTTAACAGTTTGCGTTGGTTTTTCGTTTCTTCGCGCGGGATTGCAGTTCACTTGCTACACTTTATTATAACGCTTAGGTAAAATTCAATTCTATGTTTTCTTCATCATGTTATGTATATCGCGGCACTATACGATACGAAGACACTAAGTAGATAATTTTCCAAAATATTATGAATTGTTATTTTCCCTGTATGATCATTCATCCACCAGTGATTTAAAAAACATATCGCACTTTGAAATAAACTGGAACTCATTCTTCTATTGCTTAGTGAGAAAGATATTATTTAGACTAAAATCATAAAACCCCAAAATAAATTGAACAGCAACTGAAGCAAAATCTGCCGCACTTATTTTGAAATGAAAATTTAGCAATTTATAACTTTCAATATTAAAATCAGATTTTTTCCATATCTATGGTTTTTTATACGGCTAAGAACTTTGAGACTGATTGAAAAATAATTTATATCAATTAATTTAAACAAAGGAAAATATAATGGAAACAAAAATTAATAGGATTGAAATACTCTTTGGAAAGAAGTCAAAATTTGTTTCTTTGAACAAAATGTCTCAAAAATTAAAAAATGCTATAATTCATACTGAATTTCACCAATAAAGTAAAAGTATAAGCGACCAAGAAAGTGTATGAAGTTGGTCATCAATCACATAAAAATTATGTGATGGTGAGAAAAATGCTTGTTCATACTTTTACAAAATACTTGTTAAAACACAACACAATTTATTTCACCTTATGGAACCCCGCGACAGCCCCGCATCACACCTTCTTACCTGTTTCAATACAAGTTCTTGTACCATGGTAGAATGCAACTATAGTGTGGGGGTACTCAACCTATTGGGCCGAAGTAATCTAACTATCTGAATTACAAGTGAGAACCCATAAATGAATCTTGGAGACCTTCTACCACTGAGTTAGTCAACTCATTCAATTACTTTTTCTGCCCTTCCTTAGCTAGCACCACTGTGGTTAACTATACCAAAAGGAGTAGGCGTTTTGGCACCACTATAGTAAACTACTTGAATCAGAATCGGCAATCTAGGATCACTATTGGTATAGTTAACTATGCCAGTTATAAAAGTCGGTACAACGGTAAGTTTATGTGGACAAGTTTTAGTGTTCTGCCTAGCAGAATTGCATAAAATTGTCATCTGGTCCATCAGCTGATTTACATTGCTGTTCAGGAGCATCTTCACCATCGTACAGATGCATGATAGGACGCTTGGGGATATATATTTCCCAAATGCCATCCAATCGAACAACGTCGTCGGAGTTTGATGGCATGAAGTGCTTGTTGATCTTCAAGAACATATTGACCTCTACCAATCCGGCACGCAACGACGACCGCTTTGGAGCCAATACATCAGATAGGCCGCCCAAATCACACTCCAACATCACGATGACGGCTTGTTGAACAGAAATGCTAAGGATACTTGGCTGAGGCAGGGGAAGTCGTTTCGAGTTCTAGTCCACCAAAAACACATATCGGCCGGCGCAGGCCATTTTTCGTCATTAAGTTGCCCCATTTTCTTGATGTTCTCCATTTCGCACGAGACGATTTGCTCAGCAGTCAATGCAACACCACTTCAATTCTGTAGATCTTGAGCACCGTTGCTACTGTTTGACTTTCCCAGCGCTGCGGCAATGATGGACTTGGTTTCTAATATCGGGCGCTTTGTAGGCCGAGAGCGGATCTCTATTGGGACAGACCCGGCGCGGGCCGGGAAACTATAATCTGTGCGGCAACCACGTCGGCTAACGTGGTAATTTTTCCCCAAATGAATTTCATCAGAAACTTGAAATGCTGCTTCTTGAGTGCAGTAGCAGACCACCCCACTGGAATGTCAAATTTGCTGATTCGTGTGAATTTGATTAATTGTTTAAGAATCCCTTTCTCCATCAATGGCGGGTATAGCATACTCTCCGCGTCTAACAGGTAGGTGAACTTGAAGTCAGATTCGCCTAGGACTTGCTTGAGAGCAACCGGACGACCGTGAACCATGTCGTAGACCTTGTCGGGTTTTTTAAGTGCATATATCGGATGATATCGATGGTAGAAACAAGTTGACAATGCTTCGAAGAGCAGCGATCAAGCCTCACAAATGCATTCTTGAAGCTACTCACATGCTCGATACGTGACGTTGTTTGTTGCAGTTGAGCCTAATTGACGACGTGACGGTTCCAACAATGCCAACGGTTTGCTTAAATCGAGTGTTGTTGTGTAGAGTGTGAACAGCAGTAGATGGACGTCAACTACCACAAAGGTCTACATCGCTTGGGCCTTGACTTGAATTTGTCCTACTAGATGAATCAGGGAGTAAAACTTAATGAAAACGGTTCGGTCATTA